CTTAGAATTGACTTGGCTATGCGGGCTCTCTTTTGGTTCCATATGAAGTTTAAGGTGTTTTTTTCCAGTTCTGTGAAGAAGGTCATTGGTAGCTTGATGGGGATAGCGTTGAATCTGTAAATTACTTTGGGCAGTATGGCCATTTTCACGATATTGATTCTTCCTAACCATGGACATGGAATGTTTCTCCATTTGTTTGTGTCCTGTCTTATTTCATTGAACAGTGGTTTGTAGTTCTCCTTGAAGAGGTCCTTTACGTTCCTTGTTAGCTGTATTCCTAGGTGTTTTATTTTCTTTGTAGCAATTGTGAATGGCATCACATTCTTGATTTGGCTCTCTTTAAGTCTGTTATTGGTGTATAGGAATGCTTGTGATTTTTGCACATTTATTTTGTATCCTGAGACTTTGCTGAAGTTGCTTATCTGTTTCAGGAGACTTTAGGCTGAGTCAGTGGGATCTTCTAGATATACAATCATAAAGCCAAACCTGTTTCCAAAATTATCAAACCATCCTTTTTTGGCATTAAGTTCTCCAGCTTTAGATCCTCCACCTTCCTTTTGCTTTGCATTGTCATATAATGACTGTAATGACTTCTCTTTTTAAAAAATCATATTAGAGTCTATATATAGATATGCCTTTCTTTTAACAATCCTGCACCCACATAAAAGCTGGATTTTCAATAAGAGGTCAAAGGTATTTCACAAAACATGCAAGGTTTTCACCCTGCTGGCATAGCTGCAGTGACAGCATCACAAATTTTCTTTTTTCACAAAAAAAATTTCTTTTTTCTTATTCTGTATTCATTTATCTTGAAATGGTAGGCAACCACAGCTGCAGATCTTAATCTATGGTACATGTCAAGCAATTCAGCTTCTTGTAATATGACTTTTCTCTGCTTCTTGGGAGTACTTCCAGCATCACCAGTGACACTTTATATATGGGTTCCAAGCTGTACGATATATGAATTTTATCTTGAAAAAGCCATTATTTAAAAAAAAAAAATCTATATAGGAATAGCCCTCAAGTTCTCTAGCTTGGCAATTCGGTGAATTACATTGTTATTTACTAAGACAGGGAAGGGTAGGAGTGATGAGTTCAGTTTTCGATTTGTGGAGTTTTGAGGGATTTACAGGAAATCCAAATGGAGATAATCCAGGAATTGAGCTATAGATATCCAGAATTCAGGAGTGAGGTCTACACTGAATATACAGATTTGTGCTTCAGTACATGTCGAGTATCCCTAATCCAAAAGTTCAAAATTTGAAATTTTTTGAGTTGTAGATTTGGAATACTTATCCAATAAGTATAATGCAAACATTCCAAAACCAAAAAAAATCTGAATTCTGAAACATTTCTGGTCCCAGTTACTTTGGATAAGGGATACTTAACCCATAACATGCAACTGACAATTGAAGAGAATGCATAGAACAAAACCCTGAGTGATACAAAGATAAATAGGATAGGAAAAGGAAACCAAAGCCTGCTAAAAGTGATGAAAAGATGGAGCCAAGGAGAGAAAGAGGAAAATCAGGAATATATTATACAATGGAAGCCAGTAAAAGAGACTGCTTTAAAGAAGATGGGAGTAATCAGCTGTGTTGAATGCTGCTAACATATTAAATCAGATGAGGAGGCTATTGGTAATATTGGAAGAGTAGTGTGTATTAAAGTAATGAAATAAAAATAAGATTGCAATTAGTTGAGAAATATATGGGAGATAAGGAATTAGAGATAGCCAAAGTTTGGATTTGAGGAGGAGGAAAGATTAGGGAGAATGTAGGGTGAAAAGGCTTTTTATTTTATTTTTTGCCTTAGTGAGGGGATGGTAAGATGAAAAAGACTTGAACTTTTAGTGCTGTTGGGAATGAGCCAGTGGGGACAGAGGTTATAGACACCCAGAAGATAATCTATAGGGTGCAATCTCTAACAGTGCTGAAGGGGATCTAAATACAAGTAGGAGAATTAACATTAAAAATGGGGAGGAATCTCGAGACCATCCTGGCCAATATGGTGAAAACCCATCTCTACTAAAAATACAAAAATTAGCTAGGTATGGTGGTGGGCACCTATAGTCCCATCTACCCAGGAGGTTGAGGCAAGAGAATCTCTTGAACCGGGAGGCAGAAGTTGCAGTGAGCCGAGATCATACCACTTCGCTCCAGCCTGGGCAACAGCAAGAAATACTCTGTCTTAAAAAAAAAAAAAAAAAAAGGTTAGGAATCATGATTTTAGATAACAGGAGTGAAGAAGGAAAAAGGATAAGTGGAAGCAAATGTGTTTGTAGGTTTGTTGTAAGCCATTAAGGGAATTCTGATTGAGTGTCTCCTATTTTCTTTTTGAAATGAAACATCAGATCACCTGTTGTGACTGAGTGGGGATGTTTGTGGAGAAGATTTGAAATAGTTGCGGAATACTGCAGGGAAATATAGTGGGACTAGCAGTCATTACCGAAATTCAGAGGAAATGAATAATCTTTTATAGTGACACTGCCCTATTATAAGTTTTTTTTTTTTACCTGGGTAGAGCAAGGGATTGGCCAAGTGTGGGCCCATGGGCAAGTCTGGCTCATGGCCTTTTTTTGTAAATAAAGTGGGTTTTGGTTACAAATATTGAAACTGCCTTTGCAAAAATTTATCAGTGACAAAATTGTGGCAGTAGGGGAGATCTGATCTACCCAACACCCCCTCTTGCCTTTAGCCCTCAACTGCCTGAATTATTCCTGGACTTTGGCCAAGTTAACTTTGGGAGACAGTTAATACTCTATTATTTAATTTAATTTATTTATTTTTGAGACAGAGTTTCACTCTGTTGCCCAGGCTGTAGTGTAGTGGTGTGATCTCAGCTCACTGGAACCACCACCTCCTGGATTCAAGCGATTCTCCTGCCTCAGCCTCCTGTATAGCTGGGATTACAGGCGCCCACCACCACACTCAGCTAATTTTTGTATTTTTAGTAGAGATGGAGTTTCACCATGTTGGCCAGGATGGTCTCAAACTCCTGACTTCAAGTGATCCTCTTGCCTCAGCCTCTCAAAGTGCTAGGATTACAGATGTGAGCCACTGCCCCAGCCATTTTATAGTTTAAATGATAATAGTCCTTCTCCGAAACTCAGCCACCTTTGTAAGACAGCTAATGAGAGTCCACCAGACTTGGAGGAGGAGAGGAGCCTGAATTCTGCTAAGGTGTAGATGTAGACCCAGCGGCTCACACCTGTAATCTCAACACTTTGGGAGGCTAAGGAGGGTGGATTGCTTGAGCCCAGGAGTTGAAGACCAGCCTGGGCAACATGGCAAAACCCCATCTCTACCAAAAATGCAAAAATTAGCTAGTCTCATAACCTGGTCTCAAAAATAAATAGAGAGAGAGAGACATAAATGATTGCCAGCCATTATTCTGGAGGTCACAAGATATATAACTTCCCCAGTTACTCCTGAGATAACATCACAACTGTAGAACCTAAAATTGGCCTTTTGAGATATCTTTTCAGGAATTTTTCATGTCTGACATCAATGGCTCCACCTGGACATGCCAACTGCCCCTGTGGCCCCACCCAGAAGTGGCTGAGTGCACAGGAGGACCATTCTCCACACCCTTCTGATTGCACCCCCAACCAATCAATAGCAAACACCCATTCATTGCCTAACCACTCCCACTCCTTCCCCCAAACTACCTTTGGAAAACCCCTAACCTACAAGACTTTAAGGAGATTGATTAGAGTAATATAAATAAATCCCATCTCCCACTTGGCATGGCCAGCCTTAATCAATTAAACTCTCTACTGGAATGCCATTGTCTTTGCAAATTGATTTTGTTTGTGCAGCAGGCAGGAAGAACCTGGAGAGCAGTTCCAGTATGTTCATTTGTTGTCCATGACTGCTTTAACACTGCAGTGACAGAGATGAGTAGTTGGCCCTGAAAGCCTAAAATATTTACCATCTGACTCTTTACAGAAAGTTTGCCAACGCCTGGTATAGATCAATCCGGATATAAGTACAGAGAAGGCAGACATTTGGGTTCACCCAAGGTAGAAGTCTTGATAAAAGGAAGGATATTAGCAAAGGAATTAAAGATATTGGCAGTTGACCTTGGTATTGGTATTGGACCTTGGAATCCAACCTGGAGAGGAAAAGAAGTAGATGAAAGGAACTGATAGAGGTTCCAGAGTTTATTCGGATTTCTTGAGAGTAGTTGGCGGGTGGCGGGGGGAAGCTGAAAGTGATAGAATATTGTGATTATAGATAATTTAAATGTATGATTTCAAAGAAAGGGCAGTTCTAGGTAGTGACAGTGTCCTGGCTGTGGTAGCTCAGGTTGTATGGAACTGAGAGGCAGTGCTGGTTACATCATCCATGTAGATACTGAGCCCCCTCCCCACCATGGTGGGTGGAGAGGAATATGGTTAGCCACATGCTTGTATCTTCTTAGTTTCTGGGATTTACTGGGAAAACCTATTTTTTTTCCTCATAGAAGGGAGAAGAGTGTTATAAATAACAGGATTTCAAATTATCAAGGTTTTTTTTGGGTATTACATTCCTATGTTTAAGTTGAATTGCTAATACTCAATTTAAAAATTGCTAAAAATTTAGGGAAAAGTAAATAGCAAATTTATTGCTTTGTTTTTATAATTTAAACTTATACTTTTTAAATGCCTTTTGATTACCAGACTGCAGATGTATTTAATTTTGAGGAAACAGTTTACAGTCATCATATGTCTCCAGTCTCCACCAAGCACTGTTTGGTAGCAGGTTTGTAAGTGTATTCATTTGTCTTTTGGCATATTGAAAACTTTCTCCCTTTTTATATCTACTTAGTTTTGACGTAGACATTTTAAACCTGAGGAATATCACAATTTGTTTTTTTAATATATGTACTATCTATATTCAATTCAACAGATATTGTGCAAGTCAAGCACTATCTAGTGGCCAGGATTCAGAGATTAAGAGCATATTTCTGACTTCTAAAGAGTTCCTTTTAAACCACCAAAATTTCAGAGATTTTACATGAATAAAATTTGGCAACTTTCCCAATTTGACACAATAAAACAAGGAAATTATTTCCTTCTCTAAGTTTGTGTTTCAAATTAAGCATCAATTTATATAAAAGCACCTGCAACAAACATCTTCATATATAAGGAAGAAAAAATTATTTTCTAGTATCAGATATCTGGGCCCTGTGATTCATTACTTCTGTGGCATCATGTAGGTCTCTACTTCTGGACATCAGTCAGCTGTTTTATTCATAAAGAAGAGCTAGGAACTAAGTTGTCTTTGAGTTCCTTTCAGTCTGTGTCCAGAGTTTCTGTGAACCTGTTACTAGTGATTGGAAGTATATCATTAACTTGGAAAAACTAAGCTATTAAAATACAATGATTTGATTTGATAAAATGGAATAGAACTGTACAGACATACATTTACACACATTTACCAAAATTAATTTCCTGGGTTTGATATTGATTTGACGTTAGTTACTTCACACGTAATCATGGGGAAACCTAGTGAAGGGTACACAGTCCTCTTTATACTTGCTTTGCAACTGCTTGCAAATCTGCAATTATTTCAGAATTAAAAATAAATGTAATAATAGAGGTCTCTTACTAGTAAAATATAACTGTAGTTAAAATAACTTTTCTAAATGTAAACGTTAAAAATGACTTGAAACGTCTTTTTGGCATATATCTTTATGTTTCTACATAGATACATGAAAATGTCATGATTACTAATGATAATATCTTGTTTCCTTTTAATGATGATTTATAATAAAATTATCTTAAATCGTTTTTGTTTTTACAGTTGGTACTAGAGGACCCAAAGTACAACTTTGTGACTTGAAGTCTGGATCCTGTTCTCACATTCTACAGGGTATTTTTATTTTATTTCAAACAGCAACTACTTTGAGCAAAGCATTCAATAAAAAGAAACATTACTAACAATGTATTCTTTGTGAGTGACATGACTGATGTATTTTGTGCTAGTTGTTAAAAGTCAGCAGGGAAATAAAGATCCTTCTGTGCATTATTCTTATAAAACTGAACTATTGAAAAGACATTTATATGAACAATGGTCATTGGGGAAGCTCAAAGGATGTGAAAAATAGGTCTAACTCAAAACCTGGTGTTATTTCTACATTTAAAAAAACGAATGCATTTAAAAAAAATGCATTCTGGAAAAAAAAGCGGATCACTTAACTCTGAGAGGATCAAAAGATGTGGGGAGGTTTATTTGTTTGCTGGAGAGAAGAGTATTGCATATTTATATGGTGGAGAAAGAGTACCAGTATACGTGTCTAGTGTATTATGTAATATTCTGGCTAATGAGTAAACGTTGTTCTTAATATTTAGGTGCGTTTTTTCTCAGTAAGAATATTTTAGAAAAATATATTGAAGTAATTCTGTGGTAAAGGTATATTAATTTAAATTATTCTTGCTCCTTTTTTATCAGTATTAGATTGTCTAATTCTAAACAATAAAAAGATAGAATATGATTTGTATATTTTTACTTCTCTCAGAAACACATAACAAATATATTAAGAAAATTTGGTGAGACGGGTAGCATTTTTTGACATTGTTATGAATTTCTATTAATATAAGCTGGGCAGATGAAAATGTCTGCTGTGAATAGTTCAGTTAGGTAAAAGTGAATTAAAATGTTGAACTCACCCTTTGAACTTATTACCTGTGCTTTCTAGAAAAAAACATTTTATATAAATGCTTATTTACAGTCATGAATTAAAGTAATTTTCACTTACAACTGTATGAGAAATGGGAAGACATTTTTATCCTTTAAAATGTTTATCTTGTATGTTTTATTACAGTACTTGAGCTTGAGTTATATGGATTGACTGACATAAGCTAACAACTGTATTTAAAAAGAAAGGCTTACTTAACTCTATTTTTTCTAAAGCAAAACCAGTTATTTTACAATAAAATGCCATGTGTTAGAAATACCCCTATAAACTTCACATTAGCATTGAAATGTAGATTATTATAAGTGTGAGAAATGATCATATCTATTCACATTGAATATTTAGCCTCTCTTCAGAATCAGGTGAAATTATTGGTACTCTATCTTTGGATTTTTCAAATATCTTGCAAGCCTTTTCATACAGTTGTATTTGCAGGTCATAGACAAGAAATACTGGCAGTTTCCTGGTCTCCACGTTATGACTATATCTTGGCAACTGCAAGGTAAAATTTAATTTATTTGCTTTGAAGTGCATTTTAGCAATTAATAAGCATTTAGAAAAGACTATGTAATGTATGTATTTTAACATATTTAATTATTAATTAGATCCTTTAAAACTGAAGTGTTGATTTAGAGATTTTAATTCATGTCACCAAAAGATATCTGCCTTTGCATTCTAATTCTAATCCTATCCATTTTCAAGGTGTTTCACCTTAGAACACAGAGGAACTCTGTTGTGTCATTCTTTCACACACAAATATAACACTGTGCTAATTTTTAAATAGAGCATTTTTATTCATTATCTTTAACCTAGAATTATTTTGAATATGATATAACATATCCACACATTCACTAATTCTATTTTCTAATATTTAATGATTTCCTCCCACGTGCCAAGCATTGTACTAGGGACACAGAGGTAAACCAAGGCTTCGAAAAGCCAACAATCTAATGATCTAATGGGGCATATAGTCAAAAATCAGTGATTACAGGGCATCCTGAAAAATGCTTTAATAGAGGCACATCTTTGGTAGGTGTAATATAGGAAAAGAAAGCAGGATCACTTAGAGAGGATCAAAAGATGTGGGGAGGTTTATTTGTTTGCTGGAGAGAAGAGTATTGCAGTATTTATATGCTGGGGGAAGAGTACCAGTAGAGAGAAACAGGTAAAGATAAGAAATGGAGAGAATAGGTGCTGCATCAGGACCTTGAATACACAGAAATGGGTGGTATCAAGGATCCAGATAAGGGTGGAAGGGACACCTGGTTTGGCACATGAAGAGTACTGTGAGACTACATGAAAGAGGAAAAAGTGGAAGTGAATACAATTAAGTTGGTAGCTTTGGCAGAGATGCTGAAGATGTTCAGACTGAAAGGCTTCTCTTGGTTTTTAGGACTTGATGTCATCTCTTGAAAATATAGGAATGAAGATGCAATTTTGAGGAAAGATAGCATCGATCTTGAATAACAGATTGAAAAAGAGAGCTGATTAAGGGCGCATAGAATTACTGGGCAGGTGTTCTCAGTTGAAGATGTAGATCACAGGTGTACCAAGCCACAGCAATTAAAACATTAAATGAAACAGACTTAACAATTTTCAGTGTCTACAGGAAAGTACCTCAGTGCCTGAAAATTGTAGACGTCGTGGGAAAAAGGAAAAAAATAAAATCACAAAAAGGCTTGTAGGAGGGATCGAGGACCTAATGAAGTAGAAGTATGAGAGTTAGACTAAGAAAATTTTAGAACTGAAGGGAAAAGAATTAGTAATCAAATATTTTGATATATTTTCATAAAGCTTTAAGTAGAAGAAAAATTATTGCAAAAGCTATTCATATTAGTTTTATAAAGATCTGTGTCTGGATTGTTTTTGAGTTGCCAGCCCTCTTTCCCTGTCACAGGTTAGGCCCTAAAGAAGCTTCTCTTAATAATTAACAAAATATAATGTTAAAATTTACGATTTCTGAAGTGCAGCAAGGTCTAGAATTATAGCCATAAGACTGACTGAAGAGGTATGAAGGTTAGGAGTTAGGTGCTGGTTATGCTTGGGTGGATTTTACATTTTTCATGCTTAACTTGGTTTTCCTGAGAACAGAGGAGAGCTAAGAAGCTTTCAATTATAAGAATGCCCCAGGAATTTGAATCAGTACCAAAATGGACCTAGTAATCAGTGTTAAAAGTTGGATATGTTCAAATCTAATCTATTTCAGAAGATACTTAAATCCTCATACAGATTTCATTTCCCTCAGCTGGAAAGAAGGAAAACCAACTTAAGAATGGGAAATGCTAGCTTTTTGCTGACTATTCTAGTTGGCTAGGTTTGATGGTCATCTGTGAAAAGAATCAAGATTTTTAAAAACCAATAAACCCTGTGTGTATATTTTTTAAAAATTTATAAATGAAAAATAGGCTTATAAAAATGTAAAGTAATACTCTCTCTTATTAAAATGGATAAGCCCCCTGGGTTACAATATTGTTGAGGTCCTTATGAGGACACGATAGCATCAGATGAACTGATTAGGAGCACATCGGATTGCCAAGCATTTTTCTTTAGGAATAGCCTAGAAACTGAAATAGATGTCTGATCATAGATTTTGCTTTCTTCTTTTTGCTTTCTTGAAAAAAAATGGAAGTAAGTGTCTAATTTCTAGAAGACATTAAATATAGTTTTCATATATCTGGTAAAGATTGATTTGAGTACAGGAAACCAAATGGAAATGCATTGTCCTCGTTATTCACCTTACTCCTACCATTTTTAATATAAAAAGGAAAAAAACACCAAATCATACCAAATGGATCTTTCAGCAAAGTGAAATTGGTTAATTGCTTGTTTTGAAAGCATTTGGATAACAAGTAGTAGAAAAGGTGTGGTAAGGAACTTACTAGGAGCAAGCTACAGGCCTCTCTGGTCCTTGGGAGAAAAGATGCTGATAAAATTTAAAACAACATAAAAAGCAGCAGAACTTTATTCTTGTTATCTGAAAAAGAAAGGTTACTTTTTTTTTCTTGCTGTTTACTCACTTATTTGAATTACTGTTAACCTTTGAATAGTTGCTGAAAAGGGAAAGTTCAACAACCCTAGTGTATGTGTACATTTGCACCTATGTAATGAGACCTTTGTCAATGTAACATTTATTCTTCTCAGTGCTGACAGTAGAGTAAAATTGTGGGATGTGAGAAGAGCATCAGGATGTTTAATTACTCTTGATCAGCATAATGGAGAAAAGTCACAAGCTGTAGAATCAGGTAAGGAAGAATGCATTAATAAAGAAATACAACAATGATAGTTTTTTTTACATTGAAAATTTTTAATTGAAGCCAAATAATAAATGCATATTGACAAATTGCAAACTTTATGATTTTTTAAAAGGCATTCATCATATATCACTTTCTTAATTTATGTAAACTAAATTATGATTCTCTTTCTTTAAGATATAAATAAAAATGGCACTTTCATTTGGCCCTAAATTTTTAAAAGTAGAAACTTTTCTGAATTAACCTGCTTTACTTATTTTGTTTTTGCTCCATTGAGGCCAACTATACAAATTCAATGCCATTTAAAAAATCACAATAAATTACAGAAATAGTAACGTTTTGTGGCCATTGTATCAACATAAAATTGTGTTAAATGTGAGTCAGCTGTAGTCCATGTGACAAAGTACCTAAATTGCATTTTTACAGTAGAATTTAATTCCTGTGTAGAAATTTTGATTTAGAATTAATTCTGGACCAGATATGTATTAGAATGAACTATATAAAACCTATGGTTGTTTTATATAGTTTTTTTTAAAACTACATAAAATTTCATAGGTTTTATATAGTTTTATATGAAATATATTAGAATGTACATAGTTTTTTAAAAAACTATATAAAACATGTTTTATATGTTTTTAAGTTAATTAGCCTATTTTAGAATTATGCTTTCTCAAACTTGTTAATTTTTAAAGTGATACATATTTTGAAAGTACAACAGTCATCCTTTTCCTTTTAAGGTTTTTTTTTTTAATGGAAAACACCAGAATTACTAATTTTAATAGTCCATTGAATGATTTTTAGGTTAGCAATAAAAATATTATATAAGAGAGACGAAAGGTGTTTCATTTTAAATTTTAGTGTTAAGCTACACACTTAATTGAATTTGATAGCACAACTTCCTCGCTGGAAAAAAATAGTATGTCTGGTAGAATTTTTTTCCCTTTTTTTGTTTTCTTCTATTTTTATGCTTCTGATTAATATTGCTTATCCTATTTAAATAATCTGAAGGGTTGGTTAATTTTAACTATAAGCCACTTACATTTTTTAAGTAACTCAATTTGTTGTCCTTTAATATGTTTAAATAATTATATCATCAAACATTAAATATGTTCTGAATACAAGAACAAATAAACTGAACTATATTTTTCATTGCAGCAAACACTGCTCATAATGGGAAAGTTAATGGCTTATGTTTTACGAGTGATGGGCTTCACCTTCTCACTGTTGGTACAGATAATCGAATGAGACTCTGGAATAGTTCCAATGGAGAAAACACACTTGTAAGAGATTTTTAAGTATATTTTTGGGTATAAATTAAAGAAATGGATCTGTAACATACACTTGATGTTTTTCTGTATATTTAGCTCATTTCTTCCCTTTGAATCACAGCTCTTTTTAAAAATATGTTTCTACTATGTGAACTAGTAATTACCAACTCAAGACAACCCACCCCTACCCACCACCTACCACATTCCCCTTACTTAGCAGAAAATCACGTTCCACTGAGCCACTCTGTTCTTAATGGGAGTGCAAAGTATAGAAGAGAAGAATAAAAGACTGAGAACTACTGATATAAAGTAAACATATGGAGCTAAGTAATGAAATTTTTATAGGTTAAGTATCCCTAATCTGAACATCTGAAATATGAAATGTTCCAAAATCTGAAACTTTCTGAGTGCTAGCATGACACTCAAAGGAAATGCTCATTGGAGCAGTTCAGATTCTGAATATTCAGATTAGGGATGTTCAGCCAGTAATGCAAATATTCCAAAATCCAAAATACTTCTAGTCCCAATCATTTTGGATGGAGATACTTAACCTGTATTATATATGACTTGTAAACAAAATTCACAATGAATTTTATAGTACCAGAACATGTAGTACTTTATTTAATACTACTGAAATAAATATATTTGGAAAGTACATTCTTATATGGCAATTAATTTCCAGTACTTGTTTTGATGGTATGCCTATGGTTTATTAATTTTCAGAATAAACTACCAAAAGCTTATAGTTTGGTGATAATAATAATAGTTAATATTTATTGAGCAATACTGTGCTAATAATAATTAGCCTTTAATTTGGCAGGCAGTATTAGACAGCAGTGGGCAAAACATGGAAACTCCTGTCCTCATGGAGCTTACATTTCAGCAAGAAGATGAAAGGCATTAATTAATGGACAATCACATAAGGCAGTCAGAGTAGGCTTCACTGAGGTGACACTCAACCTGAAGGAAATGGGGAAATGGCTCATCAGTTATTTTCTGGGGGACAGCATTCTAGTCAGAGAAAGAAATAAAGTACAAAGACCCTTAGGCAAGACCTTGCTAAGGATATGCAAGGAAGAGCTAAGAGGCTCTTGTGTTGGAATATGAAGAGAATAACTGATGAGGAACAGAAGGAACTAAGGTACCAGAGCACACAGGCCCTGCAGGCCTTTGTAATGGCTCAGGATTTTCTCTGGGTGAGATGGAAAGCCACTAAAGGCTTGTGAGTGGAAAAGTGACAGGATCACTCTGGAAGAGTAGCTGGGCATGTGTGTCAAATTTAATGTGAAGAATGTAAATGGTACTGAATGTATATATAAATTGTTCATGTGGTTCTATTCCATTTTTCTTTCCTTCTTAAAGGTGAGTCTTATGCCCTTTGGATTTTTCCTAGTAAGGCCATATCTAAAATAGTGTGTTGAAAATGGATAATACCTTTTACAGTGGATCAAAGTAAAAGTAACTCGTATATAGATTACTAGGGTATCCCAGCAACTGACCTACATAGAATACTTACAGGAATTTGGGACATTGATACCAGAATAAACAGACAGAACCAGTTCTGCCATTTAGTAACTTCTTTTTTTCATTTTAAAGTTGACAGATGAAATGGTACATATTTATCATGTACAGCATGATGTTTTGGAGTAAATAGAATATATACATTGCAGAATGATTAAATCTAGCTAATTAACAAATGTATTATCTCATAGTTATTTTTGCAATAAGAATACTTAACATCCACTCTTCTTGCATTTTTCAGTAGCACAGTATATCATAATCAACTGTAGTCACCATGCTGAACAATAGATCTCTTCCTCCTATCTACCTGTAATTATGAATCCTTTGACCAACATCTCCCCAGACTCCCCTTTCTGCTAACCACCCCAGCCTCTGGTAACCACCATTCTCCTCTACTTCTAAGAGATCAACATTTTCAGATTCCACATATGAGCAAAATCATGGAGTATCCATCTTTCTGTGCCTAGCTGATTTCACTTAACATCATGTCCTCCAGATTCATCCATGTTGTTGCAAATCACAGGATTTTCTTCTTTTTTATGGCTGAATAGTATTCCATTGTGTATATATACTACATATTGTTTATCCATTCATCCATTGATGCACACTTAAATTGATTCCATATCTTGTGAATAATGCTGCAGTGAATATGGGAGTGCAGATATCTCTTTGACACACTGATTTCATATCATTTTGATATAAGCCCAGTGGTAGGATTGCTGGATCATGTGGGAGTTCTATTTTTAATTTTTTGAAGAATCTCTATACTGTTTTCCATATGGCTGTTCTAATTTACATTCTCACCAATAATGTGCAAGAGCACCCTTTTCTCCACATCCCCTCTAACACTTATTATCTTTAGTCGTAGAGATAATAGCCATAATAACAGGTATGTCTCACTGTGGTTTTTATTTATATTTCCTTGATGATTATTGATACTGAACATTTTTTTGTATGCCTCTTTTGGCCATATGTAATTCTTATTTTGAGAAATGTCTTTTCAGGTATTTTGCCCATTTTTTAATAGGGCTATTTATTTTCCTGGTCTTGAGTTGTTTGAGTTCCTTATATAGTTTGGATATTAACCAAATATATATGGTTTGCAAATATTTTCCCCTATTCTGTATGTTGCCTTTTCACTCTAATGCTTATGTCCTTTACTGTGCAGAAGCTTTTGAGATTAATGTAATCCCATTAGTCTATGTTTGCTTTTGTTGCCTGTGCTTTTGAGGTCATATCCAAAAAGCCATTGCCCAGACTAATGTCATGGGGCTTCTCCCTTGTATTTTTCTACTAGTTTTTTAGTTTCAGGTTTTATATGTAAGTCTTTAATCCATTTTGAGTTGACTTTTTTAATATGGTAAGAGAGAGGATTTACTTTCACGTTTCTGCATTTGTAGGTCCAGTTCTCTCAATACTGTTTATTGAAGAGATTATCCTTTTCATATGTGTGTTCTTGGCATTGTTGTCAAAAATCAGTTGGCTGTTAAATGGATGGATTTATTTCTAGGTTCTATTCTGTTCCATTGATCTGTGTGTCTGTTTTAATGCCACTATGATGCTGTTTCAGTTATTGCAGCTTTGTAGTCTATTTTCAAGTCATGTCTCAGCTAAAGTGTGATGCCTCTAGCTTTGTTCTTTTTTCTCAAGATTGCTTTGGCTATTCAAGGTCTTTTGTGGTTCCACATGAACATTAGGATTTTTTTTCTTTTCCTGTAAAGAATGTCATTGATATTTTCATAGTGATTGCATTGCATTGAATCTATAGATTGCTTTTGGTAGAATGGACATTTTAACAGTATTAATTCTTACAATCCATGAACACAGATTATTTCTGTTTATTTGTGTTTTTCTAATTTTTTTTTTTTTTTGAGATGGAGTTTTGCTCTTGTTGCCCAGGCTGGAGTGCAATGGTGTGATCTCGGCTCATTGCAACCCCCACCTCCCAGGTTCAAGCGATTCTCCTACCTTCCCCTCCCGAGTAGCTCAGATTATAGGTGCCCATCACCATGTCCAGCTAATTTTTTGTATTTTTAGTAGAGACAGCGTTTCACCATGTTGGCCAGGCTGGTCTCGAACTCCTGACCTCAGGCAATCCACCCACCTTGGCTTCCCAAAGTGCTGGGATTACAGGCATGAGCCACTGTGCCTGGCCAGTCATTTTTTTTTTAATAGCTATTGTAAGTAGAATTATGTTCTCGACTTCTTTTTCAGATTAGTTTACTGTTAGTGTATAGAAACACTACTGGTGTTTGTATACTGATTTTTGTATTCTGCAAATTTACTGCATTTGTTTACTAGCTCTAACAGTTTTTGGCTGGAGTCATCAGGGTTTTCTATAAGATTATGTTATCTGCAAATAGGGACAGTTTAACTTCTTCCTTACCAATTTGGATGTCTTTTCTTTCTCTTGACTAATTGTTCTTGTTGGGACTTCTAGTACTATGTTGAATAGAAGTAGTGAGAGTAGGCATCCTTTCTTATGTCAGATTTAGAGGAAAAGCTTTTTATTTTTCCCCATTCCGTGTGATGTTAGCTTTACTGTGTTTAGGTACATTCATTCTATACCTAATTTGATGAGAGCTTTATCATGAAGGGATTTTGAATTTTGACAAATGCTTTTTACATGTCTGTTGAAGTGATCACATGCTTTTTATCCTTCATTTTGGTAATGTGGATACTGTATCACATCTGTTGATTTGCATATGTTGAACAATCCTTGCATCCCTGGGATGAATCCTACTTTATCATGGTGAATAATCTTTTTAATAAGTTGTTAGAGTAGATTTGCTAATATTTTGTTGAGGATATTTACATCTGTGTTCATTAGGAATATTAGCCTGTAGTTTTCTTTTTTTTTTTTTTTTTTTTTTTTTTTTTTTTTTTTTTTNTTCTTTTTTTCTGAAATGGCGTTTGCTCTTCTTGCTCAGGCTGGAGTGCAGTAACGCAGTCTTAGCTCACTGCAACCTCCACCTCCCAGGTTTAAGTGATTCTCTTACATCAGCCTTTCAAGTAGCCGGGATTACAGGCATGCACCACCACACCCAGCTTTTTTTTTTCTTTTGTATTTTTAGTAAAGATGGGGGTTTCACCACGTCGGCCAGCCTGGTCTTGAACTCCTGACCTCAAGTGATCTGCTCACTTTGGCCTCCCAAAGTGCTGGGATTACACGCATAAGCCACTGCACCTGGCCTGTAGTTTTCTTTTTTGTTGTTTTTCCTGTGTCATCTTGGTATCAGGGTAATGCTATCCTTGTAGAATGACTTTGGAAGTATTCCCTCTTCAGATTTTTGGAAGAATATGAAAGAGTCTGAAAGAATTGATATTAATTCTTCTTTAAAGTTTAGTAGAATTCATCAGTGAAGCCACTTGGCTCTGGACTTTTCTTTGATGGCAGACTCTTTATTTGTGATTCAATATCCTTACTTATTAGCCTGCTCAGATTTTTTTGTTTCTTTACAATTCAGTTTATGTCTTCTAGGCTATCCAAT